TATAAGACTATATTATAATTAATATAGTTTATTAATTAGTAGTTAAATAGTTTCAAATATTGTTTTTTCCGGAAATTTAGCTATTATAGAAGCTAATATAATAGTATTTCACTTGTCTAAATTTTAATATTTAAATTTAGGGCCTTTAAAAAAGCTATAGATATTAATATAAGCCTTTTTATATATATATTAAAAGAGCTAGTTATTATAGAAATAGTCTTGAGCTAGTCTTTTTAGTATAATAGGAAAAGCTCGTATTAGTACCTCTTATAGAAGCTTTATATATTAGTAGATATTAAGGAAAATAGTAAGTTTATAATTAAAATTATTATTAGATTTATTATACTTTTATTCTTTAATATAGATCTTAGTAACTTCCCTAATAAGTCTTATAATTAAAGGAAATTAGGGGTTATTCGGATATAATTATAATAGTAATAGTAATAGAAATATACTATTTACTTCTAAAGCTTTTATATTAGTATATAAATCTGGTAGAAATATAGGATATAATAGTAAAGGAAATAATAAAGAAGGTAATAGTAATATAGAAATATTAAAAATAATAGGTTCTAGGTACTTATTCTTTATAAAAGTAATAAAGCCTAATAGGATTAGTTTCTTAATAAGATCTAGTCTAACTACTAATATATCCTCGTTTAATTATATATATTATTTATTTTCCTTTATAATAGTATATAGGGTATTTATAATAGTATTAGTACTATTATTCTATTATATAAATATATTATTATACTAAAGGGTCTTATATAGGTATAGTATCTCCGGGAGTTCGAATTTATTAAAGTTCCCTTAATAAGTAAAGTCCTTAAAATTATATCTAAATAGCTTCTAAAAGTTATTATTAACTATTTTATAGAGAATATATTAAAATAGCTTAGTATTTAAGAACTTAGTTATCTCATTTATCTTAATAAAGTTCAGGTTAATTCTATATCTCTACTTTCTTACTAATTCCTTGAAATTATTATTATCTATAGAGTAATTAGATTAGATAGATCTAATAAAGGAATTGTCCGCTATAGTATATTCCGCTATTATATGTTTTATAGGCTCGTGTCTAGTTCGAGGTATAGTAGTTCGTAAGGAGGGTAGGTTCGTAAGATAAGTAGTTCGTAGTAGGTATTATATTCGAGGTAAAAATTTCGTCTATAACGAGAAATTTAGGAAGTGAAATCGCGGAAGTGAAATCTAAGGAGTGAAATATCGAGATTCCGGGAGGACTCGACGGTTCCAAAGCTCAAGAGCCCCAGGGGTTTAAAAGAAGGTGGTTTTTAAGAGGGTTTCGTAGGAGTTAAATGGGAATGAAATGGGATAGTCAAATAGCTAACCGTTTTGGTACTTGGCAAGATCAAGTGCCCTTCCTGCCTATATAACCGAATTACAGGTAATAGGACTAATAGATATTCCCCCCTTCGATATAGTATAATCGGGCCTTAGCAAGATCAAGTGTCTTTCCTGCCTATATAACCGAATCACAGGTAACAGGATCAATAGTTGTTCCCTCTTCGACTAGAACAATGGCTTTGCCCCTAAGCAACCGAATCTTAGGCAAGCGCAGCTTAATCCTTCCTGATCTGTAAGTACTAACTGATCAGTATCGGTTCACCAGGAACACATAGCACCGTTACGTAGTCATGGAATGCTAATTGCATAAGGTTAGTGAAGTTGTTATTCAGAAGTAGGGATCGCAGTATCGTGGTATTAATATGCGATCCCTAAATCTGCTAAGCCTAAAGGGGTCTAGTCTACTAGTCGAGTTACTAATGGGACGCGAGGTCACATGACCATATCCCGTATCCCATGTCCCATTGCCCATGTCCCATTGCCCATTGCCCATATCCCGTATCCAGTGTCCCGTGACTACGCACGTGACTCCCAGAGGAATAGCTGTACCAACATATACTTTATTTATATATTTCTTTTATTTTTCTCCTAGTTTTTATTCCTACTAATAAAAGATTTAAGCTTAAGGTATTTCAATAGCGGATTTAGTTTATATATATTTAATACTATATTAGAAAAAAGGAGTTATATTACTTTTATTTTAATAGACAGTTTAAATAACTAGGTTGCTAGCTAATTATTATAAGATTTATATAATTACGAGATTTTGCCCTATATGAAACTCGGCCCCAATAAGGAAAATCATTTCTTTGACAGCCTCATTTCCCCACATATATGAAATGCTTTGAATCTTAGCTTTTCGGCGAATTTGACATTGATCAATATACACGACAGCGGATCATCATGATTCATAGACGGCTCTATCAACACAAGCCGAACAGAGTCCACATCTAGATCTGGATCAAGTGGCTGATAAATGAAGGCTTTCGGAGGCTGAGATCCACTGTCAACGGTTGGCACGGAATCTCCGTCTGTTCGACGTCGCGCTTGATTTGCCGCCAAGGTGCTTATGAAGACATTTGCTCTCCGCTGCGATCAGAACATCCAGAGTTATAACATAGGTGTGCCTAGGCTGCTCAGGTGAATCCCCAGAATTGTTCGGTTGCTTACATACTCGAGTGGTATGCGGCACCGCAGCCAGGCGGGTTGACTAAGCCGAGTATGATTAGCGCCTGAGAAAGAGCGGCAGGCGTACTTCACAATACCCTTATATCTCAGGCCGCCATACTTGTCTCACGCCCCGCTTCTACCCACCTTCGGTTTGAGCCGCTTTCTGCGCGTCGGCGTGCGGGCGCGTGTTACCAGTAGGCTACGGACGACGAATCTGGTCCGTGATTACTAATTCGCTAAATGACTGAGGGGTTTCAATACATTGACGGCCCGTCGTCAATGTAGAGCTGACTAATCCGCACCACCCCACCGAAATGATCGCGCGTCGCGTTCTACACCTACTTGCACTGTAATTTAGCTAGAAGATAATTGGGAGAGATGATGTTGATCAATTGATGGTGTGTGAGGAGTGATAAGTACAACTGGTCCTCGCTAAAGAAGGCACATCCACGATCGATGCACCACCACCAGCACCCGACGTGATTACATTACACTAATTGACCCACCAATAGACGCGCCAATGAACGCAATAATGGACGCACCAATAGATATCCCACTGTCACCATCGCCACTGCCCTCACAATCGCCTGAGCCCTCTCCTACGTGACCTCATGTGATTGTTGTCCCACTCGTACCCGCACTTGGCATTTAGAGACAACCGAGGTTGCGTTCAACACGACAACAATGTCGAGATTCAACCCTTTTCTTGACAAACGACCAACAATGAGGGCATCCTTTGGCATGGATTCTTTCTGGATCTACCTGCAGCTTCCTCTCAGCGCATCTTCGGCATCTGGATCTCCCCCCGAAGCGATCTTGTGGTTATATTTTAACTTTTCCACGATGTGCTGCTATTGGAGCGCATCTGAGTCTTCTGCAAAACAAGCACATCGCTCCTCCCTCCCCAGACAAGCGTCTTTGATTATTCATGGAAGAATACTCCAGATCTGCGAGTCGGCAAGGCACAAGATGTACCTCCCGACATTTCCTGGGGAAGGTCGGGGAAGCGCTCCAACTAATAGCCGGTTCTCCTCCCACTGCGCTTCGCTTTGTGGTCGTTTGACCAAGTGTCCCACCGAGATTTATCCGGTACTTGATTTTTAGTATGTATCGCACGCAATATTAAGTATATTTGCAATGGAATTAAGGATAACAGTCATAAAAAAAATCAAAGCTATCTAAAATTATACAAAACCGGCATTCGCTTATATACTATTAATTAAGCCTATATTGCTCTTAATATCTAATAATTCTTAGTAATTAAGGGAAGGTAAACTAGAATTTATATATTTTCTTACTTTCTTTTTTTAATGTCTTTATTTCGTAATATTAATTATTATATTCTTATTCTTATTAATAAAGGTATTTAATACCTCTAGCTAATTAAGGGCTAGGTTAATAAGAAATGCTATTAGTTAGTAAATTACAAGCTATAAAAAATATCTTATAATTCTGTATTTAAAGATTAAGTTAACTAGTTAATAATAGTAATTTTAGGGGAAATTTAGCTTAATTATATTAAATATATTATTAAATTTAAAAGAAGTGCTTATAGCCTTTAAATAAGTAATTATAGCTTAAAATATCTAATATATAATACTTAAACTAGCTTCTTATTACTTGTAGTAATATAATTTAATTACTTTCTTTTATATCTTATTTAAGATATTATTATTATTATTATTATTATTATTATTATTATTATTATTATTATTATTATTATTATTATTATTATTATTATTATTATTATTATTATTATTATTATTATTATTATTATTATTATTATATTATATTATTTAATTATTATTATTATTATTATTATTATTATTATTATTATTATTATTATTATTATTATTATTATTATTATTATTATTATTATTATTATTATTATTATTATTATTATATGTATTATTATTATATGTATTATAAAGTCCTTGAAAGTTTTTTTTCTTATTACGCTTGCAAAGTACCGGTTTTTGTAAAGAAGCCTCTTTAATATAATATATTCACATAATAATAATTACTAAATTATTATTATTTTAAAGACACGGTAGTAATTAGCTTCTATAGTATATAGAGAATAGAAATACTTCTAGAACATTTCCCCAATTCTAGTAAAATCAAATAAAGGTATGTCCATTTTAGTAGTCTTCGCACGTGAACTAAATTGTGAATTATTTAACAAGTTAGGCCAAACGCGCAATGGCAAGACGCGTTTTTTTGGTGAGGATCACAGGTAAATTTTTAGGGCCGGCATTTTCTAGGTGGGGCACTTGGTTACAGTACACGGGACACTTGCTTTCCCCGACCACAAGCGAAGCGCAGTGGGAGGAGAACCAGCTATTAGCCCAAAGTACTTAAGATCGCCATGGAAGTCAAGGTAAGGAGGAGTTCAGTAAGTCAAGAGTTTCTCAGACGATTATTTTTTCGAAGCTAGCAACATGTTTTTCTCCCTCAAGCAAATTGCTCTGCTTGCATTGTTTCCAGCTACTCTATACGGATCTCCGGTGGATCTCAACCCACGCCTTTCCAATGGACTCGCAATAACACCGCCAATGGGGTAAGATTTCTCCCTCAGATCTGCCATTTCTAGTGTTAATGGTTCTTCTGCAGATGGAACACCTACAACCATTACTCCTGCTCTCCTAATGAGGCCATTGTCAAATCAAATGCACAAGCACTAGTCGATCTCGGCCTCCTAGCGAAGGGATATAATTTTGTCACAGTCGACTGTGGATGGACTTTACCAGCTCGCCTGGCAAACGGATCCATCACATGGAGTCCTACGCTGTTCCCAAGTGGCTACTTTGCTCTCGGGCAATTCCTACATGCGAGGGGTTTGAAGTTTGGAGTATATTCGGACTCTGGAATACAAATGTGCATGACAGGTTCGCCAACCCAAGTGGGCAGCTTAGGTAGGTGTTGAGAATCGTCGGACCAGGCAATGCTGAATATGCAGGTCATGAACAAGCCGATGCGCTGACGTTTGCTTCGTGGGGCGCTGACATGATCAAATGTAAGTCTAAGTTCCATACTCCTGAGTCGAGGAAGTTCTAACACCCCTAGTCGACAACTGCTATTCCGAAGCTTCAGCTGGATATCCTAACACGGACTTCACTCCTCCAACATCACCATCTGCTCGCTTTTCCAACATGTCTGCAGCCATCGCTGCGACTGGAAGGCCAATCGTGTATGCAATCTGCGAATGGGGCGTAGACTTCCCTTCAGCCTGGGCACCCACAATTGGGAATTCATGGCGCATCGGGAATGATATAATACCATCCTTCGGTACCGTCGCTCGGATCCTGAATCAAGCAATATCTCAGACAAGCTTTGCCGGACCAGGACACTGGCTTGATCTCGATATGCTAGAAGTCGGCAATAATGTTTTCACCGCTGCGGAAGAACAAACACATTTTACCATGTGGGCTATTGTCAAAAGCCCACTGATGATTGGAGGCAGATTGAGCGATACCGCCGGAAGCATCACCTCCTCGTCGTTGAACATCCTCTTGAACTCGGATGTCATTGGATATAACCAGGACAGTCTTGGTGTGGCAGCCAGCTTCGTCAGAAGATTTACATCCGCAGGATATGAGATCTGGTCAGGACCCCTGAGTGGCAGCCGAAACGTTGTTGCTGTCATCAACCTGAGCAATGTAGCTACGAGTCTGACATTAAATCTTCCAGATGTCGGATTACAGAAAGCTGCATCTGTCAAGAACATCTGGAATGCTGCGACATCCACAAATGTTCTCACTTCATATACCGGTTCTGTTGCAGCCCATGGTACGATGTTACTTGAATTGAGCGGGACTACCGTTGCTGGGAAATATGTCGTGGCTGATGCTGTCACTTCTGGGTATGTACCTCACCTCACAGATTGGACACGAACTCACAATTCTAGCACAACGACTGCTTTCTCACATGTTTACGTAAGCATTTTTTTCTGCTAATTCTTTTATCTTTTTTCTGTGGAGCCGGAGTTTGTGAAACTTGTGCCTGGAGCGTCCTCTCAGAGGCACAGCTTTCGAAACGTGTTTCTCTAGCTCCGGCTTTAGGTTTATCTAGAAGAAGGATAGATTGACATGTTTTCTTAGGGCGCTACTACTGGCAATGCTTATACTTGCGTTATCACCTTCTCCCATAGCAGCGCAACTGCAACAGCAGTCACTGTCAACAGCGTAGTTCATAGTTTACCAGCCAATACGCTTACACTCAGCATCCTTATTTCCCTCACCGCCTCGAATGCCAATACTGTCGTTATAGTATCTTCCATCACCCCCTCAGTGCTCACAATCGCCGCTCCAGCCTCAACTCTCTATCCCAGCACTTCATTTGCTCTTGTAGGCACGGCAAGTCGAACAACCTGCAGTTCAGGACTCTGTGCACCAGTCGGGTCAAAAGTCGGCTATCTTTCCAGCACAGGCTCAGCAACACTCTCCGTCACAGCCCCAAGCACCGCCATTGCCGGAAGTAAATACGCCACAGTGTATTTTATCAACAATGACATCGCGATCAGCACCTCATGGACCACAGGTACGAACACAAGGAACATGACTATCAGTGTCAATGGCGTCGTGACGAGAATCGAAGTACCATTGAGCGGGAAGAGTAGCGAACTGTTTAGCGCTGGCTTGGGCTGGCAGGACACAGGACTCTTTGGAGTATTGTTGCCTGGTTGGACGACGGGCAGTAATGCTGTTGTTGTCACGAATACTGCGGGTGGTTTGGTGGATTATGCGGCTGATTTTGTGGGGCTGAGTGTTGTGTGGTAGTTTCGTTATGAAAGGAGCATGCTGGAGAAGGATATATGTAAAGGGATGCAGGAAAGAACTGGCTGTGGACGTTGAGGAGAGGAAACAAATGCATTGTTCATCGCGATATGAGCTGCCCTGCTTTTGCCGAAGTTGTTGTTATTTGCAAGAACGCATCTTCACTTATTACTGCTGCTTGCAATCATGATTTGCAAACCATTTTATCTTTGGCTTAATTAAAATCGAGGCATCAAGACCGCGCAGTGGTTATTTGGCTCTTCGTCTCGCTTCTCGTAGTCTCGAAGCCGAAGCTTGTGTGACCTCGAGCTTTTCTAATACTTTTTAGTAAGACTAATAATTAGTAAAGCAAGTGATTATTTAAGTTAATTATAAGTATATAAAGAAAATCAAATAAATTAAATATTACTAGAAAGAAATATCTAATAATTAATATAATATGCCTTTATTAAATAAATTAAAAAAAACTTGAATTTTATTAACTTTATAATAAAATAAAAGATATTAAATATAAGGAAATAAATTAATTATAAATAAAAATATATTAAATAAAAAAAATATTTAAAAAAAATATTTAAAAAAAATATTTAAAAAAAATATTTAAAAAAAATATATAAATATATTAAATATTTAGAAAGTTTAAAACTAAGCCAAATTAGAAAATTAATATATAATTAAAAAGATATATTATTTTTGGCGTTTTTAAAAAGATTTTAATTTTAATATAATTACAACTATTATTTTTAGAATTATATAATTTAATTAATAAACTAGTTCTAATTAAACTTAATAAATTTAGAAATAATATATTAATATTATAATATTATACTTTTTACTTTTAAAAGAATAATTATTTTATTAATTATATATATTATATAATAATATTATATATTTTTATTTATTTAAATTAAATTTATTATTTAAATTTTTTAATAATATAATTCCCGAATATAATAAAAATATAAAAATATAAAAATATAATTTTTTTTTAATTTCTTAAAATAATTTAATTAAATACTTACTTATATTATTTAACTATAAGAATTAGAAACTCTAGTTTATTTTTATTATTTAAATAAATATATTTATAAGATATTTATTAATAAGTAATAAAATAATAAAATAAATTAGTAAGTTATAGAATTATAATATTAAATTTAATATAAAACTAATTTTTATTTCTTTTATAAGATTTAGAAAAGCCTTTTTAAATAAAAGCTTTTAATAATATAATATTTAATACTTTATAAGCTTAAAGCCTATAATATAAATAATAATATAATTATAATATTAAAGAACTATTAATTTCCTTAATTAATACTTATAATATTCGAGGTTTATTATATATTCTTTAATTATATTTAATTAATTATATATTTAATTAAAATAAACTTCTAGTATTTTAAGAAATAATTTTACTAATATAATTTAAGTAATAAATATAAATAATAATATAATTATAATATTAAAGAACTATTAATTTCTTTAATTAATACTTATAATATTCGAGATTTATTATATGCCTTTTAATTATATATAGTTTTATATATATTATATTACTTTTTTATTAAAAAGATATTAAGAATTTAATTATTATTAAAATACTTTTAGTTTTAATAATTTTAAAAGCTTTAATATAATTAAATACTTTTTTTAAATTTATAAACTAGTATTTTAAGCTCATTTATTATTTATTTATTTATAATAAGATTAAAATATATATCTTTTAAATAATAATAATTGGAATTATATTTATAAAACTATATTTTATTAATAAAGCTTTATTTATTTTCTTTAAGTTTTTAAATAAAGTTTATAAAAATATTAATATTATTAATTTAATAAAGTTATTATCTAATTATAAAATAATATATAAGCTTATTTATCTAATTTAGTTTCTTTATTTTATAATTTCTAATATTTCTAAATATTTTAAGTTTTAAAAATACGAAATTTAATTCTTTTTTTTTAAAAGAAATAAGTTCTTACTTTAATTCTTTATTTAAATCTAGTATTTAAATATAATATTTCTTTATTTCCTTTAATATAAATTTAATAATTATAAGGAAATATTTAGAAAAAGTTATTATATTTATATTTATTATTTTAATATTAAATAAATAAATTTTCTTTTCTAAATATTCTTATTACTAATTAATTTATAAAAAATATTAAACTAATTTATTTAGAAATTATAATTCTTTAATATAATAATTATTAAATAATATTAAATAAAAAATAAAAATAAAAATAATAAAAATAATAAAAATAATAAAAATAATAAAAATAATAAAAATAATAAAAATAATAAAAATAATAAAAATAATAAAAATAATAAAAATAATAAAAATAATAAAAATAATAAAAATAATAAAAATAATAAAAATAATAAAAATAATAAAAATAATAAAAATAATAAAAATAATAAAAATAATAAAAATATAAAATAAAATATAATTTTTAAAAAAATTAATTAAATAAGCTTTTAAATACTCTTTATAATATATTAATATAGCTATTTCTTTAAAAGTTATATATATAGTTATAAGATTCGGGAAATAAGATATAAGTAATAAAATATAAGTAATAAAATATAAGTAATAAAATATAAGTAATAAAATATAAGTAATAAAATATAAATAATAAAATATAAATAATAAAATATAAAATACGGGATATAATTATATAACCTCGTATTTTATAAATAACTTAACTAATAGCTAGTTCTTATTAGGCTTAATAGATTTAGGAATTATATATTAATACTATAATACTATAATTCCTATTTCTAAATATTAAAAACTACTTTACTAATTTTAATATACTAGTATTTTATATATATTACTAGTAAACTAATACTAATTAATTAATATTTATAAATTAAAGAAGATTTTAGATTAGTCCTAAAAGTATTTAATAGCCTAAAACAAATCTAATTTATTTTATATTAAAGGAAGAAACTATTTATTAATTTTATAAGTATTTAGTAGCCTATAAAGAAAATATCTAGCTTTTATTAATTAATAAATAATTAGCCATTTAATTAATTAATTATTTAACTTCTATTATTCTTTAAAACTAACTTCTTTTAGCCTCAAGACTACTTTTTTTTAGAAATCATTTTTTCTACTTATATAATACTCGAATTTATAGAATTCTTTTATTAAAATATATATTCTATATATATCCTTAAAGCTTTTTAACTATAACTTCGATTTTACTATTAAATCGAATTCTTTAAGCTCTTAGACTTTCCTGAAATCACAATATTTTACTTCTTAAATTTCTTATTATAAATAAATTTTTTAAGAATAAAATATTTATTTTAATATTCTAATACTTTTATTATTAAATAAATTCTTTTTATAAATCTACTATAAATTACTTTATCTTTAAACTTCTTATACTATAAACTATATATATATACTAAAGAGAAACTAAGCTCGATTTAATATAAATACTAATAAGAGAAAGAAATTAATTAAGAAATAAAAGAATAATATTAATTTAATAATTATAATAAAAAAATAATTTTTAGAAATATCTAATTATTAAAATATATTAGTATATCTTATATAAAAAGAGTAATAATAATTTATAAAATTTATTTTAGAATAATTTTAAGAACTTTAATATTATAGTATTTAATTAAATTAGCTATATATTATTATAAAGTCTTTAAGCCTAATTTTAATATAATAATATTTGTATTAAATAGAATTATAAGAGTCTTACTATTATATAATCCCTTATTAATCTTATTTAAAAGAAAATAAAACATATATAAAATAAAACTAATATTATTAAAAACAGTTTAATTAAATTAGATTTTCTTTAGAGACCTATTATATTAGTTTATTTTACTTTAAATAAAATTAGATATAAGAAAATCAGACATTTTTAATCGAGAAATTAAGCTATTTATTTATTTTCTTTAAATTATAGCTATTTACTATTTCTATTTTTATTATTACTATTATTATTACTAGAAAGCTTATTAGGGAAATAATAAAAATATATTTCGAGATATAAAAATATAACAAAATTAATAATAATTTTAATTATAAACTTTTTTTATTAATATTTACTAATATATAAAGCTTTTAAAAAAAGTACTAATAAAAGCTTTTTCTATTATATTAAAGAAATTAATATAAAATTACTTTTATAATAACTAGCTCTTTTAATATATATATAAAAAGGCTTATATAAATATTTATAGCTTTTTTAAAGACTCCGGTTTCTAATATCGAAATTTAAATAAATAAAACGCTATTATTTTAGTAATTATAATAGCTAAATATCCTAAAAACAATATTTAAGTATATTTAAATATTAATTAATAATCTATATTAATTATAATATAGCCTTATTTCTATTTTATAAAATATTATATTCTTATATAATAAAATTATTATTTTTTATTAAGGCTTATTAATATACTAATATATAGTTTCGGGCTCTTTTAATAAACTCGGCCAGATTATTAATAAGCTTTAATTATCTATTATTACTTATAAAAAGAAATAATAAATTAATACCGAAATCTATTTTACTAATTAATAATACTATTTTTAAAATTCTTTAAACTATTATTTATTCGGAAATTATTAATAGGAATTTAATTATAACTTTAAAACCTATAATAATTATTTTAAGTTTTATAATTATAATAATTATATTTCAAAGTTATATTTTATATATAAAAGATTTAATTATTATTTATAAAAGCATATATTAAAGAAATAAAAGATTAAGAAAACTCGATTTAAAAATAAAAACATTTATTAATTTAGATTTTAAAACTCTTGTAACTTTAATAAATACTTTAATAATATTTATATATAATATATTACCGGAATTAAAGAAAAAAATAATAATAAAAGTAATAAAAACAAATTAATAAATAGTGCTTTTAAAGCTTTATTAATAGAAAAAAAAAAGAAATATTACTTAGATTTCTATTTTATTTTAATTAAAAGCTTTTTAGCTATATTTACTATTTCTATTATTTCTATAATTAATACTTTTATAAATAACCTTATTTCTCTTTTCTTTATATATTAGATAATAAATAAAAACTATATCTTAAA